AGTAAAAATATGTTAGAATATATATAAATTTATTTATTAATTATAGTATTCAAATATATATAAATTTATATGTACACAAAAATTTAATATATTAAAATATGTACACAAATATTTAATATATTAGAATATATATAAATTTATTTAAGAAATTATAATATTCGAATAATTCGAATAATAAACGAATCGAATCTATTAATATTTGTATTCGTATTCGAAAATTATTTGAATCTAAAATATGATTTGTATTCGGATTCGAATTCGAATATAGCGAATACGAATCATCCTTTTTAAATACGAATCACGAATCGAATACATTTTATTTGATTTGTATACACCCCTACCTCCAATGGTCTTGTATATTGTAAAAAATACAAGATATACAAACATTATAGTAAAATTATCACTCCATTGGGTAGTTTAAAATTAGCACTATTTTGTAAAAAACAAATCCCACCTTGTTTTAATACAATTTACTATTCACATGTTGTATATTTTTTCTCTATATATTTATTAGACCAAATTTATATTTCATATTTCTTAATAATATACTCAAAATATCTATAGTTTGAAACATATGTACCATAGAAATTTTAAATATATAAATATTATCTCAAATAAATATTTTAAAAATAATAAAATATAATAAAAAAATGTATTATTTAAAAGATATGGTGGGAGTAACTATGAAAAAGTGGATTGCTAAAACACTATTGATATTCTAAAATACAATAAAAACTACGGAGTATAAAAATTTACCATACCCATTGAAGACATCATAAGGGATGCTTTTGGGACAAAGCAGCGAACTCTTTTTGTTTCGAAATAAACTTTTCATTTTTTTCTTTTTTCAATTGTCCGATTAAGGTGTCATTCTCTTTCACTTATTTCTGCTACTCATTGCTTATTCTTATTAGATTCAGATCAGATCAGATCAGATTCATTCAATTTAGTTTAGATCAAATCAGATTTATTCAGATTACTTCAGATGTAATCAAATCTATTTAGATCATATCGGATCCATTCAGATCAAAATACTATTTAAAAAATAAACAATATTACAATAATTCTAATAATTAAAACAATAACACTGATAATAATTATTATCATTATTCATTAATAATAAGAATAATGTTAATAATTATTAATAGTAATTAATAATAATAAAATTAAAATAAGAATAATTCAATCCAAAACAATAATAATGATTAATAATTATTTTTAACAAATAATAATTAATAATATTGATAATAAATTTTCATAATTATATTTATTTGTAAATAAAATAATCGATAATACTCATCATTAATCATAACACTTAATATTAATAATAATAATTATTATTCATAATAATAATAAATATAATAATTGATATAATATAGATTAAAAATTAATAATTAAAATAATAATTACTAATAATAAAAATTATAATTTTAATATTATTAATATTAATATTATTAAGAAAATTATAATTTGAATATTATTTATCATAATAACTAAAATAATAAATTATAATTATTGTTATTATTAAAATAATAATTATAATTAATAATGATAATCATCATCATCATTAATCACAAAAGTTAATAATAAAAATAACGATGATAATAATAATAATAAATATAATCATTAAAATGATAATGATAGTAATCATAATTTGTAATTACCATTATAATTCTTGATAATAAAAATTATTATTGTAATACCATTAATAATAATTATTACAAAAATTAATAAATTATTATTATTATTATTATTATTATTATTATTCTCATCATACATTATGATTACTAATGATAATCATCATTAACAATCATTACACTAAATATCAGTAAAAGTAATAATAATAATAATTAATTATAATAATATTAAATAATACTCCGTATAATTATTAAATCAATAATGATAATAATTATAATTAAAATAATAATTATTAATAATAAAAATTATTATTGTATTATATGAATAATAATTATAATTAATAATTAATAATAAATTGAATTTGAATTAATTCCATTTATATGAGATTCATTCAGATGAGATTAAATCTGTTTAGATCAGATCAGATCCATTCAAATCAGGTCATATCATATCCATTTAGATCAGATCAATTTGATAAGTCCATTTCTTTCGTATCTTTTATTTCATATTTTAAATGTTATTGCACGTAAATAGTATTTAATCATCTCATAAAATATGTTTTTCACAAATAAACTCTTGTTTTTGTTCTAAGAGTCATAAAAAGGGATTCCATGTTAATATTTACGTGAAATAACATGGACCCTATTCCATTGTTTTCGTTCATGTGGAATCCGAGTTTAATATATTCTCCCATTTTAATATAATGTGATTTTAATTATTTTGCATAGTATGAATTAGGGTCCCGAGTCCTGGGTTCGGACTAGTTTGGGCATATACTTTGAATGTTCAGTTAATTTTGGAATGATTATCCTGAAATTGTTCTTGCCTTATTTAGTTAATTAATATTGAAAGAGTTAATTAGCTATATACCGAAAAATATTATGCGATGTAAGTTTGTAGTATTCAATACAAACAAGGAAATTACGAATCCTAGTAATAGGTGAATAATAGTAGAAATACAATCGTTCTCATTGTTAATTTAATGTGATATAGTCAACCTAGATGATGTCATGACCCTAGGTCTAGATCTTGCTTATACTATGTAAATAAATTTACTTTCGTCATACTTTTTTTTTTATCCGTACCGAGCGAGAAGACTTTCATAAACCTGTACTAACCTTCACCTAGTTAGAGAAATTAGCTAATTCCCTTCGTGCACTCCCTAAGAGACATGACACTCGGAGAGAAAACTAACCCTTTACTGGGAAGGTTTGCTACCCAAAAAACTACAATACATCAAATGGCGGCGTTGCTAGGAAGTGACATGATTTTAGTTTAATTTCTTCTAATTAGCTTGGATGAAATGAAGACCATTTAGAACGATCTTCTCACCTCTTTCACCAACTACCCGTAGTGATTATGGATCTTCTCACCGTTTAGAAGCGCTTGATGGGAGGCAACCCATCATTCTTAAACAAAAAGAATATAATAGTTTTTGAGGATATCCTTGCCGCACAAGTTTTAGGGGCAAAAGTTATTTTGTTTGTTGTCTTTGTTTTTGCAGATGGGAGAATCGTAGGGCATACCTTGCAAAGGAAGCAAAGAATAGGTCCAACACCTGGGGAAAGCACAAAGTTTATGCAGCCTTCGATGCTTATTGATCTAGCAATGCTTGTTGAAATCAGCTACTGAAACGATATTGGTTTCCTTAATAAATTCTCTTTTTCCAAAATTTATCTCTACTACTTTGAACATTATCTTGATGATCAAAAATTGATTTAATTTGGAATTCCTGGTTAAGACTCTTTCAAATCACATTTGTGGAAGTTCTCGGTGTTTTGCACCCTTTTCTCCAAATCTTTTTTATGATTTTGATTAATTGTTATTTCATTTTTCATTGTTGAATCCTATAAGTATGAGGACAACATAGTAATTGCATGTGGACATTTTCACCATAAACTCCTATTCTAAGCACTTTTCACCCACGAGGGTGCGGTTTTGTTCAAGTGCAAGGGGGCGAGAGTTTCTGGTTGAAATGATCTTTTTAAAAATTTTTTATCTACATATTTGTAGGAAATAATTTTATAAAATAGTCATCAACTCTTTTGCGTTTAACTAAATAATTTTTTGTTATCACCCATAAAAATTGAAAATTTTTAACTTTTTTCTCAAACTTTTATTTTTACTCTAAACTTTTGAGAATGTTTTCTAAAATTATTTAGTATAAATTCAGTTGTATTAGGTGTTTTTAAGATCACATAATCTATAATGCTTTATTGAAGTTTTTTGCGAATACTCTTTGATCTTTGGGAATCTGAGTATTTGTTGCTTCTTTATAAAGAGTTTTTATCAAAATGTAAGGAAATGTCTTTTTACATACTTTGGTGAGATCGAGCTTTTTAGCCAAAAAGTATATGGTTCTATGTCACAAGATGAGAACTTAAAAAAATATATTTTACATACTTTGGTGAGATCGAGTTTTAAATGCCAAAAAGCACGCGGTCCCATGTTGCGTGACGAGGCTTTTGAGTGTTAAAGTAAAAAAGCATGTAGTTCTACGTTGTGTGATGAGAATTTTTGGAGTAATTATCCAAAAAGCTCATGGTTCTATGTCACGGGATGATGATTTAAATTATTTCAAAAAGCTCGTGGTTCTATGTCACAAGATGAGAACTTAAAAAAATATATTTTACTTGTAGCATGACAAAGTATGCCAAAAAAATAAACCATTACAATTTGATAACTATTCTTAAAAGAGCAAATTTGTCAATTTTTCCATTAAAAATTCTTTGATCTTAACAACTTTTCTTACAAAATGTATTTATCCCAAGAAAGGTCAGAAAATTTTGTTAATAAGATTAGTTCAAAAACATTAGTTTGACAAGCTAATTTTAAATTTCTAACAATATGGGTGAGAATCTATAAGTTCAATTGTTTTCACGTAACGTTGATGGCGATCTTACTTCTCTGTTCCTTCATAATATCTTGCTTAAACTTTTTCTCTGTGATTACTAATTTTGTAATACTCAAAATTTCATGTTTCAAATTTTATAATGGAATAAATTCAGAGAAAATATTCTAATATAAGCTTGAATGAATATTTTACGATTGGATAAATGAACTTGTACATTGGATACCAAAAAAAAAAGATAAATTAAATAAATAAGTAAATGAATAAATGATGATGACAATAAATAAATAGTAGTGGGTGGGAAGAGCCCACCCCAATAAGAGCAACCTTGTGAAGTCCTGTAAGTATGATGCAGCATGGAGGCCCCAACTCTATTGATGAATTAAGAGGTATCACGAGAACTTTGCAGCCATGAGAATAAATAATCCAACCACTTTACCCACCAATTGGGGCTGAACAAATAAATGCACTATATATGTATATACACATATCTACATATATCACTTCCTCATCAATCTCGTAGCTGCCCTTTTACTCACAAACCAGCAAATAGCCAAACTTTTAGGAGCCATTCTCTACACACATCAATAATAGCAACTACTCAAGGCTTTTGTGCACCTCATTTCATCTCTGCCAGAGAGAAAGGGAAGAAATCAATAAACATAACTCTTATTCTAGGCCAAACCAAGCAAGGTGAGTGAGAATAATACCTTATACTTTTAAATTGTTTATGATAGTCCCTTACATTACTACTATTTTTGGAATTCTAATTTAGGAGCCTCACAGTTTTAAACCAAATTTGGTATATGTTGGGAAGTTGTGTAAGGGCACTTTTATCCGGACAATCTGGTTGGAAGATTTGTATTTTTAAGAATGAGTTGCTACCAATATTTTTGAAAAAAAAAGGGAAAACTAAGTCGCTAAATACCAAGTCTCTTATCACTCTTCAAACCCAAGAGCTAAAATCTTGAAAATGTGTATCGAAAAAAAAAGGGAAGAATAAAATCTCGAAATTTAATTTCTATGAAACCCGGAATTTAACCTAATTAGGGAGTTCAATCCCTACATATTCCTAGAATTAGTAGGAACGAGAGAAACTGAGTGAAATAAGAGAGTTTATTCAAGTTCGTGAGGAAGAGTTTCGATCGTACCTTGGAGCCAAGATTCGCTGGTCGGAGTCGTTGGGGACAAGATCTTCAAACGGAAGGAGACGACGACGGTGCCGGCACTTGGCGGAGATGGCGATCGAACTCTTTCCCTTCGCCGACAGTGAAGGACTCCGTAAATAGGGTATGACAGCTTCCTCTGTAGGAAATTTACATGTAGAATAGCCCATTGCTCTTAATTGGTGGGCCTTAGAGCAACTCTAACGGGCACCGTAAAAATTAGTAAAGTCTAATGTTGTGTTTGGAGGGAGGGAGGTGAAGGTAGGATGAGGTAACAATTAAAATCTACCTTGTTTGGAGAAGAAACAGAGATAGGTAAGGGGAGGTGAATGGCGGTAGCCTCACCGCGTAACAGTGAAATTTAGGCTACCGCCGATTTCGCGAAACACCTAGGTAATCAGATTCAGTTCCGCTGCTGCCCTTCGCTAGCAGTATCCGATCTCAAGATCTGTTCAGTCGTCATCTCCTCTTCCATCGGCAGATTCTTCTTCTCTTCAGTTTCTATCCGATCTCAGATCAATTGAGTCGCCATAACCCCTTTGCTGCAATTTTCAATTTTTCTTTTGCACGTCACTTTTCAATTTGCACTTCGATTCTTGTTCTGCTATGCTTTTTCGTTCTGCTCTGCTTTTGCACATCAATTTTTTGCAATTTTTACTTTTGCACTTCAATTTTCCAATTTCCTTTAATTTAAAAATTTTACATTTAAAATTTAAATAAATTCTAATTTTATATAAATACATCTTAAACAAATAAAGAAAAACAACCCAAGGATATTTTAGTAATTGTAGTCTTTTTTTATCTCACGTTACCTAATAAACATCCAAACACATTTTTTTAACTCATTACCTTACTTTACCTACCTTCAATTACCTATCTTTAATTACCTTCAATTACCTACCTAATAAAAAGTTTACCTACCTCCAATCAAACATACTCTAAAAAATTGAAGGATTAGCATTTACTGTACAAAATTTAGGCTCCAATGGGTAGTGCATTAAATAGAACGCAGTGTATTTTCCATTTCTCGTCTTCCAAATATGCACAGTATTGTAGATAGTGGAAATTGGGTTTCTCTCGATCGCTGCTATTTTCTCCGCTTTCCGATCGCCAATTCTTTTTCTCCTTCGTTGCTCTTCTCCTTCACTGCTATTAATCTGCACAATTTTTTTTGCTCGGGTTGCTTATACGGAGTAGGTATGAATCAAATTTCTTTTTCCTGAAGAGATCTGTATCTTCACCTTCACTGCTATGGAGATGTCTATATCATCACCTTTACTGCTCCTCTTCTTTGATGATGTCGCCAACTGCAATTTTATTTTGCTCTGCAACTATGGATTCTGCGTAAATTATGCACTCATGCTTCGCACAAACAAACACAGACGATAATTGTCTGTGCGACACAGACAATTATCGTCTGTGCTTGTCTGTGCGAAGCATGGGTGCACCCATGGTAGCACCCATGTGGTGGCACCCTAGCATGGTCCAATTAAGAATCAAACTATGAATAAGAATATTAAAATATTATAAAAATGTATTATATAAAAGATATGATTGGAGTGAGTATAAAAAAGTTGATGTGTAAAACACTGTTGATAGTGTAAAGTAAGATTTACACTACCATTTTTTCCACTATCACTTGGAGATGCTCTTAAAGTTAGGCCATTTTTTAAAGTAAAGGTTATTACTTTAACAGTAATGTGGGCCTAACTTTAAAACTTATGAAGATTATGCTCCAGACACCATGTGCTTTTAGAGCAAACGACCAACATATGTAAAAAAAAATTCCATTCCTGGCAGTGTAAGTAAGACATTTTTTTCTGAAAATTTCCTGGCAGTGTAAGTCAGACATTTTGACAGTCAATACGGATTTGGCTACTCCGTTTCTACTCGAAAATTTTAAATAAAACGGAGTAGCCAACTCTGTCTTAAAGTTTTTATTTCTCATACGGAGTAGCCAACTACATTTTCAGAAATTAAATGCCATACGGAGTAGCCAACCCATCCCCTTCCGTCCACCCATTCCAGCGCCTCCATCCCCATTCCAGCCGAAGAGAAATCCAAACCATTCTAGCGCCTCCATCCGCCGAAGAGAAATTCGACCAGAGAGGGGAACCGCCACCGCTGGAAGGACAATTCGGACTAGTCTACTCCGTTTTATGGAGGTATTTTTTATTTTTTTAGTTAATTTATATACATATTTATCATTTTATGATAATATTTAGATATTTTATATATATATATATATATATATATATATATATATATATATATATATATATATATATATATATATATATATATATATATATAGTTTGTTTTATAAAATTGCATAAATTATATTGGATTTATACCAAGTTGGGTGATTTTTTTTTATTGTAATTGATATATATTATTAGTTTGTAAGATTTTGAATTTGATTCTTTAAATATTCATAAAAATTTGGTAATTTTTTAATTTTGAGATTGTAAGATAATTTTTAACATAATTAGTTACTTCATGTGTTTTTTATTATAATTGCCTAATTGTGTGCTTTTATTAAATGCAAAATTGTTATGTTGTAATGTTTGAAACAAATGAGTTCTTATTAAATGAATAAATTGTTAAAATTTTTAATCTTTGAAGCAAATGGATGTTCATCCGGGACCTATTTCACGAGACGTTTTAGTTCTTGAAGGCGGAGTACATAGGTGTGATGCGGTATGGGCGGACGAAGAATATGCCAAAACGAGTCTAAAGTGTCATAGGACTTGTTCTAGCATATATCCGAGGACTCTTGTTGCTAATAGACCACCTCGTGTTATAGAGATTTTACAAGATTATGGATTTTATGGGGTGGAGAAAGTAGGTGGATTACAGTTAGACTGGGCTCTGATTACTTCTTTAGTGGAGAGATGGAGACCCGAGACCCATTCATTCCATCTGCCCTTTGGAGAGGTGGGAATTACGCTGCAAGACGTTGATGTTTTACTCGGATTGCCCGTAGATGGCATTCCATTGTCGGGGGTCACTAGTCGATCAAGAGATCCGTGGATTCAGATTTGTCATGACATGATGGGTTTTAGACCTGAACCATCTGATATTACGTCTTCTATGATTAAGATATCTGCAATTGTTCCGATGGCGTTGACAGAGCATAGTGTATATGTTGATTACCAACAACATGCTAGAGCTATTATGTTTAAGTTGTTGGGTGGAAGCTTATTTCCCAACACGACGGGAAATAAGGTTAGTTTGTATCTGTTGGAGGTAATCATGGGTGACTCTGTGCTGGTGCGGGGTCGTGCCATTGGTGCTGCGGTTCTTAGTTACTTGTATCGTAGTATCTGTCGTGCTAGCATGACACATGTATCACAGATTGGAGGGTGTCTTATCCTATTACAGCTTTGGGCATGGGAACGTCTGCCTATGACTAGACCTAGGGGCGTTGTGCCATTGGAGCACTGGTTAATGTTCCATAGTATTTACAATTTTTTATGTCTATCATGCATTCACTCAGTTTATTTTATTCATGTTAATGTTTAATCCTCCACTGGTAGATGGGTGTGTTATCATCGGTGGTCAGATTGTACGACACACTCCTTACGAGCATACATGGACCAGCTAGATAGGTTGCTCGAGGGAGAGGTAAGTACTAAACACATCACAATGTTATGCATACATATTTTATTTTAAATGTCTATTGTATTCCTTCTTTATGTATGCAGTTTGTTTGGATGTCGTATCCGAATCTTGATACCCTACCACGCTCTTGTTCAGCCGGACTCCGAATATGGATATCACGCATCCCTTTGATCTATGGCTATGTTGTGGAGATGTACTATCCGGATCGGTTTTGCAGACAGTTTGGTGCCCTCCAACGTGTTCCTCTCGATGTTGTGTATGATCGACACCTATTTTCAGTAGATGGAACTCACTTATACGGCAAGTATAAGGGATGTTTATTACTTGCCATGGCAACGACAGGAAATGGTGAAATTTTTCACCTGGCTTTTTCCATTGTGGATGCTAAAGATGATGCAAGTTGGAAATGGTTCATGAAGAATGTCATGCGTCATGTCGTACCCCCACATCGCCGTGTATGCATAATATCTGATCGACACGGTGGGATTGACCATACATTTGAAAATGTTCCAAGATTGGGTGGAGGTCAAGTGACTCGAAGATATTGTCTCTGCCACCTACGAAGCAATTTCTGGAAGAAGTTCTGAAGTAAGAAGCTGCGGACCTTGATGTACAAAGCTGGTGATGCCTCGAACAGAAATGAGTTTGACCAGTTGCTCCTCCGAATAGCATCCAAAAATCAAGAAGCTTACAACTGGCTTAATGCCATTCCGAAACACAAGTGGGCTTTGTCACATGATGAAGGTGGCACATGTTATGGTATAATGACTACAAATTCATCAGAAAGTTTCAATAATGTCCTTAAGGGATGTCGTTGTTTGCCCGTATATGCCATTGTGAAGTTCACCTATGAGAAGTTGGTCAAACTTTTCGCTGAGAGGCAAACAAATGGATATGTATGGCAGCAATCCGGGTACAATTTTCCTATGAATGTGTGGAAACATATTAGGAAAAATGAAGAAAATAGGCTTTATTATCGTGTTGTGCAGCACCACGCACAAGAAGGGATATATTCTGTGGTGGTGGATGGGTCGTCCTACATTGCTCAGTGGGAGACATTTACGGTGAACTTAAATGCACGAACATGTAGCTGTGGTCAATGGGTAACATTTCACCTCCCGTGCAGTCATGTCCATGCAGTATGTCATTATTGTAGTGTCACCGTGGATCATTTGATTCCAAATGTTTTTTCAATTCAGTGTTACATCAACGCTTCCTCTGGCATCATAATGCCGCTACCAGATGAGTCTGAATGGCCTACTCCAGAGTACGAGATACTGAGGCTAACGCCACGACAGACCACATGAATCGGCCGACCTACGAGAACCCGCTATCGGAATAACATGGACTATCGACCACGGAGACATAGCAACGAGGAATAGCTATGTCATGAATTTCAATTATGTCTGAGTTTATGTATTATTAAATTTTACAAATAAGTTAGTCATGGATTGTGTTTAGGTTTCTTCATTTTTTGAATAAATTGTTATATGTACTCTAGCAATAAATTTATTGTATTTTGTCTTCTTCTTTTAATCACGTTATTTAAGTATCAATTAAAGTCAATAAATTGTATTTTTTAAAAAAATTTTTTATAGTATATTTTTACATCTTTATGTATGTTTCCTTTATTTTGTAATTAATTTAGTTTCTTTTAAATAATTTATAAGTAACAAAAGTTAATTGGTTTCATTCAAAAACTAAAAATTTGAAAATTTTTATAATACAATATTTTTATAAAATAAAGTTAGAAAAGTTTAAAAAAAGTTTATAAAAGTGTAGTTAATTTGTTAAAAAAAAATTAAAGGAAAAAAATAAATTGGAACAAGCAACATATAATTTCCGTGCATTAAGAAAATTAAAAAAAATAAATAGTAAAATGGATTAGGCTAATTCGTTTAGTAATTAAATGGGTGAGACGGATTAGCCAAATCGGTTTACCTAAATAATAACTCCAAAACAGAGTAGCCAACTCCGGTTGGTATTATTAGGGAAAACTTATATTCAAAATGCATATAAAGGAATCAAGTGCACGCATATTACACAAACAAGGAATTCACCCCGTGCTTTTATCTACACATTATTTATGTCATGATTTTACTAAGGGTAGCAAATCATTGGATAAAGTATACTACCTCCTTTTGGATGTAGAATAATAATAGATCATTGTATCCTACACAGAGAGGCTATTATTTAATGGGCCCATTTGGTATATCGCTTTATAGCCATCGATGGATAAATCTCGGCCGTAGATTACTTTTATAGTTCCTCCCTAACTGGACGCATAATAATAGGACCGGATGTCGGTCGCTATTATTGGGAACGGGTATGAAGGATCTCATGTGATTGCTTCCTAGCCCAACAGTAAGAGGAGACACTTTTGAGCATCTCCCAAATATTAGGGCTTAGCGCCACCACTAAGACTAATACGCCCTAACGCCAAGGCTTCTGAGGGGATAGGGTTAGGCTATAGGCATGAAATACCCTAAAATTTTACTAAATAAAAGATTAAACCTTTGGGGGTTATTTATAAATTTTTTATCTCATGACAAAAAGGTAAGAGTGGAGAATTGTGTTCTGATAAATACCTCGGTGGGTGCTTCAAGATAACCTGATCAGTTAAATTGAGCACAAAAGAGGGGTTCCCCAAAGGCTAGAAATGATGAGGAGGAAATGTTTGGAAAACAAAAGAATAGTAGACATGTGTTGCACTCTCATAAAAAAACTAATGGGATATCGTATTTCTCTCCTCACGAGTACACGATGTGGCGTTGTACTCACCCCTCCTCACAACTATTTTAAGTGCGTAGCCGTTCTCGCGCCGTAGTTCCTCGCGAACCAGTTGCCGTTGTTGCAAGCAAGATCTCAGTGTGGTTTGTGGACATGTTTCTTTGAAGTTCTTATTATGCTCATGTTGTTTTCTTACACTACTCCAATCAAGTTGTATTTCATTAATTAGTCCTTTGTGGCTGGCATGTTGTATTTCCGCTTAAACTCTGATCTTATCTTATATAATAAAGTGATTATGTTTTGCTTGATGTGATGCATGTATACTGTTAGCCTTGGATGATTCATTGATCGCTTTCAGTGAAGGAATCCATGAGTCGTACGGCGGTTGTCCACGTCGCCGAACGGTCTGGGGCGTGACAATTAAAGTGGTATCAGAGCCTAGTTTTAGAAAATCTTTTTTGAAGTCCTCACTACAACCTCATTGACCCTTCAAAAACATGAGCATAAATTCCTTCTTAGTGACTATGAGTTGGGTAGGTTAAATCATAGAACTCTAGTTGCTAAGAAGGCGCCTTAACAATTAGGGCTGCTACGATAAGACCACTCAAAAGGATTAGTCACGGCCTTCCATCTACAATCCATAAATTCTATGTACCTTCGTTCTATATTATAGAAATGGTGGGAAGAGGAAGATCTCTTAGTCAAGCATGTGGTGGGGGAAGGGCTCCGCATTTGAGGAGTTCGAACGACGTTCGCGTCGAGACTCTGCGGGAATATGAAGGGGAGCACACCCCTCAACAAGAACAACAACCTCAAGTTGTACCTCCAAACATACATGTACCTACACCGGAAATGTGTGCAGCATTCCTAGCATGGTACCAGAATAAACCTCAGATTCAACCCGTAGATAATCCACCACTGGAACCGATAGCCCAGCAAGTACCAGTAGCACAACAGAAACCCCTAAATCAACCCCATGTGATGCCAGTGGAGCAACCGATTCCCCAAGAACAACAACCTGGGCCGCAAAATCCTCCCGCACAGGCTGAAGGCTCAGTCATAGTGAATCAACCAAAGAAAAATGAGGTGGCACACCATCCTCAATTTTTCAATATAGCTCGATACTTAAAGGAGGCTAGAGCACTGAGGTGTAGGACATTTGACGGGGCTGGAGATATCTCAAAGGCTCGGGATTGGATGAAGAGAGTAAAGGAGGTAGTGAAAAGCTTACACTTGACCCCAGAAGTAAAAAGAGAAGTGGCAACTTATCTCGCGGAAGAATTTGCAGAGTTATGGTGGCACGGGATTCGAAGTCGCTACTAGGGTGAAGTATAAAATGGGAACAATTTGAGATGGAATTCTATGATAAGTTTTACCCTGCCACAGAAGTCCAGAAAAAGCGAAAAGAGTATAACGATATCAAACAAGAAAGATTGACTGTGGCGGAATTGGAAAGGAAATTCAGTGATCTTGCGACTTACCTACCTGAGTTCGACATGAATGAAAACCACATGAGTTCTCATTTCTGGCTGAGCCTTAACCTTGGGATTCGTGAAAGAGCTAAGGCATACACTGAAGGGATGACTTTCAATCAGACAATACTATTAGCCCATGTAGGAGAAGTGATATTCCAAGAAAGGATGCAATGCAACGAGGAAAATAGGAAGAGGAAGAACACAAGGTCCAGCGATCCCCCAACAAAGAAGACTCATCAGAACAAGGGCCCTAGGACTAGCAGTTTCAAGGCCCCGCCACCACCAACCAGAAGCGCTCCAGCCATGAGTGGCATAAAGCACAACGATTATTGCCGTAATTGTGGGAAAAACCACTTCGGGAAATGCACCCAACCACTACGATGCTTTGGGTGTGGAAACACGGGACACATGAAGGCCCAATGCCCCCAGCAACAAAGAGGAGGAAATACACTGGTCGGAAGTCACACCATTGGAGGGAATATGAGGCTTGCAAATACGAATCAGAAGATACAAAAGTTTACGACACAAACAAAGTCGGTTAACCAAAACCACACTCAAGCACGTGGGTACGCTATGAATCAAGCAGAAGCACAGGCCAACCCGGAGGCTATCACGGGTATGTTCTAGATATAAATTTTTGGATGTTTTGTGCTCTTTAGTGAAAACCACTAGGATACTAAATAGGTCTAAACCTGTAGGGATCACAAAAATCAACGGTAGGGAATCATGTTTTTCACCCTTACCTCGATCAGTTTGTTATTGTGATCATCGATGATATTTTGATATACTCTAAAGAAGAAAGTGATCATGAACAACATCTTAGAATTGTGTTGGAGACATTACGACAAAAGAAGTTGTATGCCAAGTTCTCAAAGTGTGAGTTCTGGCTTAGAGAAATTGGGTTCCTTGGGCATACAGTCTATGGGGCTGGTGTAACGGTGGACAATCAAAAGATTGAAGCTATCACGAAGTGGCCCCAACTAAAGAATGCTAAGGAAATTCGGAGCTTCCTAGGTTTAGCAGGCTACTATTGCAAATCTGTAGAAAAATTCTCAATACTTGCTTCACCCTTGACGAAACTAACTCGAAAGGGTGTCAAGTTCGCATGGGATGAGAAGTGTGAGAAGAGTTTCAAGGAAATGAAGAAGAGGCTGACAGAGGCACCAATTCTTGCACTACCGGTACAAGGGATAGGCTATATCTACAGAGATGCAAGCCTTAATGGACTAGGATGCGTGCTCATAAAAATGGGAGAGTGATAGCTTATGCATCAAGACAGCTCAAGCCACATGAATTGAACTACCCGACGCATGATCTGGAATTAGCCGCCGTGGTGTTTGCACTCAAGATCTGGAGGCACTACCTCTATGGGGAAACCTGTCACATCTTCACTATTCACAAAAGCCTAAGATATGTGTTTACATAGAAAGAGTTAAACATGAGGCAACGACGGTGGACGGAACTCATCAAGGATTATGATCTAGTAATCGACTACCATCCTGGAAAGGCCAACGTGGTGGCAGATGCTCTTAGTCGTAAAAAATCAAATCCCAGGAAGGAAATTCTAACCACCCTCCGTGCCTTAGGAGTACAACTCGACGTAACCAACGAAGGAATCCTCCTAGCTAAATTTGAAGTGCGGCCCACACTGCTAGATGAAATAAAGAACAAACAGGGTTGGGATGTAGACCTTCAAAAGATTTACGAGCGTTTGCAAACTGGTGAGGTAGAGCATTTAAAGATAAAAGATGATGGGATACTCACTTTTTGAAACCGAGTGTGTGTCCATAATGACCCGGAGCTGAAGAAAGCAATCTTGGAAGAGGCTCACTACTCTGCCTATGCGATGCACCCAAGAGGGACAAAAATGTATTATACCTTAAAGGAAAGTTACTGGTGGTTTGGAATGAAGAGGGAAATAGCAGAGTACATCAGCCGATGTCTCACCTTCCAACAGGTCAAGGCAGAACACCAGCAACCGGCAGGATTTTTACAACCATTGACCATCCCTGAATGGAAGCATGTGACGATGGACTTTGTAGTGGGACTACCCCGCACTACGAGGAACTTTGATGCTGTATGGGTGATCGTTTAGGTTAACCAAGACTTCACACTTTTTACCTATTAATACGACATATAGTCTCGAGCGGCTGGCGCATTTTTGTACTAATGAAATAGTTTGTCTCCATGGTGTCCCGGTGTCGATAGTGTCGGATCGAGACCCACAGTTCACCTCAAGATTTTGGCCTAAATTTCAAAGGTCTATGGGAACCAAGTTGAAGTTCAGCATAGCTTTCCACCCGCAAGCAGACGGACAATCTGAAGGAGTAATTCAGATTCTAGAGGATATGTTAAGGGCTTGTGCACTCGAGTTCCAAGGAAGTTGGGACTGAAACCTTCCTTTGGTAGAATTTGCCTATAACAATAGTTATCAGGCTAGTATTGGTATGCCCCCATATGAGGCATTGTATGGGAGACGATGTCGCACACCACTTTGTTGGGTGCATTTCCGAGAGTGGTTCTTCCCACAATTATGGCAATAATCGTTGTGCTTTATGCCACTCATGGCTGGAGCGCTTCTTTTTGGTGGTGGCGGGGCTTTGAAACCGCTAGTCCCAGGGCCCTTATTCTGATGGGTCTTCTTTGTTGGGGGGATCGCTGGACCTTGTGTTCTTCCTCTTCTTATTTTCCTCGTTGCACTGCATCCTTTCTTGGAATAGCACTTCTCATGTATGGGCTGCTAGTATTGTCTGATTGAAAGTCATCCCTTTAGTGTATGCCTTAGCTCTTTCACGAATCCCAAGGTTAAGGCTCAGCCAGAAATGAGAACTCATGTGGTTTTCATTCATGGCGAACTTAGGTAGGTAAGTCGCAAGATTACGGAATTTCCTTTCCAATTCCGCCACAGTCAATCTTTCTTGTTTGATATCGTTATACTCTTTTCGCTTTTTCTGGACTTCTGTGGCAGGGTAAAACTTATCGTAGAATTCCATCTTAAATTGTTCCCATGTTACTTCACCCTGTTAGCGACTTCGAATCCCGTGCCACCATAACTCTGCAAAGTCTTCCACGAGATAAGTTGCCACTTCTCTTTTTACTTCTGGGGTCAAGTGTAAGCTTTTCCCTACCTCCTTTACTCTCTTCATCCAATCCCGAGCCTTTGAGATATCTCCAGCCCCGTCAAATGTCCTACACCCCAGTGCTCTAGCCTCCTTTAAGTATCGAGCTATATTGAAAAATTGAGGATGGTGTGCCACCTCATTTTTCTTTGGTTGATTCACTATGACTGAGCCTTCAGCCTGTGTGGGAGGATTTTGCGGCCTTGATTGTTGTTCTTGGGGAATCGGTTGCTCCACTGGCATCACATGGGGTTGATTTAGGGGTTTCTGTTGTGCCACTGGTACTTGTTGGGCTATCGGTTCCAGTGGTGGATTATCCACGGGTTGAATCTGAGGTTGATTCTGGTACCATGCTAGGAATGCTGCACACATTTCCGGTGTAGGTACAGGTATGTTTAGAGGTACAACTTGAGGTTGTTCTTCTTGTTTAGGGGTGTGCTCCCCTTCAGATTCCCGCAGAGTCTCGACGCGAACGTCGTTCGAATTCCTCAAACGCGTAGCCCTTCCCCCACCACGTGCTTGACTAAAAGATCTTCCTCTTCCCACCATTTCTAAAATATAAAACAAAGGTACATAGAATATATGGATTGTAGTTGGAAGGTCGTGACTAATCCTTTAGGTGGTCTTATCATAGCACCCCTAATTGTTAAGGGCGCCTTCTTAACAACTAGAGTTCTATGATTTAACCTACCCAACTCATGGTCACTAAGAAGGAATTTATGCTCATGTTTTTGAAGGGTCAATGAGGTTGTAGTGAGGACTTCGAAAAAGATTTTCTAAAACTAGGCTCTGATACCACTTTAATTGTCACGCCTCAGGCTGTTCGGCGACGTGGACAACCGCCGTACGACTCATGGATTTCTTCACTAAAAGGGATCAATGAATCATACATGGCTAACAGTATACATGCATCACATCAAGCAAAACATAATCACTTTATTATATAAGATAAGATCAGAGTTTAAGCGGAAATACAACATGCCAGCCACAAAGGACTAATTAAGGAAATACAACTTGATTGGAGTAGTGTAAGAAAACAACATGAGCATAATAAGAACTTCAAAGAGACATGCCCACAAACCACACTGAGATCTTGCTTGCAACAATGGCAACTGGTTCACGAGAAACTACGGCGCGAGAACGGCTACGCACCTAAAATAGTTGTGAGGAGGGGTCAGTACAACGCCACATCGTGTACTAGTGAGGAGATAAATGTTATAATAAATGACCAACGCTAGAGGGGTAGGTGAATAGCGTTTGATCATAAAATCGCAGGAATAAAAAATTTAAAGGAGAGAAGTATAGAGAAGAGTAAGAGGCGCACCGATTTTACCCTGGTTCACCATAATTTGTGGCTAATCCAACCTCCCGAGAGACTCTCTCGAGTTACACTACTTTCTCGTTAAGCTTAACGGTGCTTAACAAACCCTTACAACTTGAGAATTCGAGTTACACGAACCTCAACAAGTCCTTCGAAGGAAACAGCCCTTCCTTCGAATCAAACAAGAGAAATACTTTCTCTCAACGTGTCTTAAAACACGAACTAATACACTCAAGAACGGGACTCTCTTTAAGAGTAGATCTTGAGTAAACTATATACGCTCAAGAACAACTCAAACTTCACACAAATTGGCTCTAGAAAGCTATGGAAAATGATGTTGTTTGAATGCAATGATAATATGAATAATGTGAGGTGAATTGGTGAGTAAAGCAGACCCAAACACCCCCTTTTTATAGTGCCAAAATAGGCTCCAACGGATCAAGACATTAAAGGGGTGATTGGCATGATTTGTGGGATTGATATGAAAATATAGATCTGCAGGAGATTGGCTTTCCCATCAATGTATGGAGCTACCCATCACTAGTAAGCCAATTTTCTTTCAGATTTGAAGGCAACGGTCACCTACCCATCGATGGATAAACAATTCCCATCGCTGGGTGGGAGGTTGACTTTCAAACAACAAAACAATAAGCCTTAAATGACTCACAATGGTCATGAATAACCAGTAGTGGGTATGCCCTTCCATCGCTGGGTTCCCATCGATGGGTTAAAATCCCAATCGCTGGGTAAGGGCATTCTGCCTTGTGTTTATATTGGAAAAACGCTTGTACAGCGATGGGTAGAACTTCCCATCGCTGTTTGGCATGGTCTTGGAATTCGGTTGGGCTGAAGGTCCGCTTACCCATCGATGGGTAATGCCTCCCATCGCTGGGTTGATGGTTAGTCAAAAACCTATGGTTTTTGCTTGGACCATGGCCTAGCCAACCGAGCGAAAAATGCAAAGTTCTCCAAAATAATAACCAAGTGTTTAAAACACTTATTTAATGTATTTGGATAAGAAATCAAGTGAGACACTTTAAAACCACGTCATTTGAGCAAAAACCACGGCTAGCCAAGTTTATGCCGTTTCGCATGGTTTTTGCCGAACGACCAAAAACAAAAGATGGTTTTTGAAGTGTTTTTTATTGGAGAACTATTTAAATATGCCCATAAGTAAAAACCAATCATAAAATATTGAAAACCACTTGGTTGGTTCGGAAGCCAAAAACCAACGCCGATAACCGAATGCCGAACGTCGGTTTCTGAAAACTGAATGACGGTTTCTGTAAGCCAAACGCCGGGTGGCTTGGTTTTAGGTTTGGGTGAACACCAAGTGTTTTTAATGTGTTAAACATGTTTGAAAAACATTTTTATGATATGTGAAATGCAATAAAAACGTTTTAGCCTAAAGAGCCAAGGTGTGAGGTTTGGGTCGGTCTTGATCATATTTGTGACCGACTCAACGACACTAAAACTACGGTCTTTGTTCTTAGTATTCTTTTAGCTCTTGTTCTTATCTTCGTTTCTCGCCTTATATATTCAACACTTTGTCTTGATCACGACAGTTTGGCATTATCAAAACCTGTCATAAAAACTAACACGGCTTTAGTACAAAAACGTGATAAACCCACGTTTCAACAAGAAATACGATATCCCAGTAACTTGTTTATGACAAATTTACCTCTATACTTATAACTATTCAACTTGTTGTTTGAGGAAAAACAACGTTTAAGTGTTAGGAATTTGATAATTTCGTTTCGTTTTAATCTTTTACTTCATATTTTAAATGTTATTGCACAATGACGAAAGAGTTTTAGCGGTAGTAAATTTTACTCTAAAAGAGCTCCATTCACTCCCGTGTCGTATATATTCACGTGGATTGGTGTAAAAATAAATTTTCTATTAAAATCTAGCTATGCAATGTATACTCACTCGCGTTGGAAGCCTTCTAAATTCGAAAAGTTTAAATTGAATTCAGTTTAATAGGGCAAGTAGTCATTTATTTGACAAAAGGGAATATGAATTGATTTCAGGTTGTATTGAACAAAGTAACAATTTGTTTGACAAAAGGGAATATGAATTTATTTCAGGTTGTAGACATTTCTCAGATAAATTAACTAGTTGGATGATTAAATTAATTAATTAGTCTAGTGATTAGTTCTGTCACAACTATTCCATTAATTTATCCTATCTATAGGCATAATCAATGTTCTAGAATTGGTTGGCTTAACTATTTTTCTCATTCATAGACAAATGGACATAATAATTTTTCCAAGAGTAATTACTCAATTGGTCAAATTAATTAACTAGAATAATAAAACAATTTCTAACAACCTAGATTTTTAATTGATCATATTTAATATTCCAACTTAATTATTTTTCTTACATGTCTACAACCCTAATTTTAATTCACATCCCTAATATATTTAACAAGACATAATAACAATAAAAAAACATACAATTTAAATAACAGAACATTTTATTAAAAATATTACAAAGAAACTTACAACTTCCAAAGAAGCAGAAAATGAACAGATCTGGAACTGGAACTCCAAAATTAACTAAGAAATATTTTTTGTGTGGTTTTCGCAACTTTAGAGAGAAGAGAAAAGGAGAATTGGAATGATGGTGGTGGGATCGATCGACCCGCCTTATATAGGCATTAGAGGTTCTAGGGCGGGGTCCAGGGCGGCTGCCCAGCAGGTCGCCCGAGTGCGACCCCTGGTTTCTCGCATGCAATTTCACCAAAACCAGCAACCCGACGCGCGTGCTAACGTATATTCCTTGGGCGGGCAGTAGAGCGGTCGCCCAACGAAATATGCGAATATTTCATGGGAATATGCCCTGCCAACCGTCTATCTTTACACTTGAAACCCGGGGCTGGATCCGGGGCGGGCGCCCGATAAGAAGTCCCAACACATCTTTGACTTTTGACTTCAAATTTTTGCGACAAATTCCTTATTTTGTGCTGAATATTTTTCCCTTCTGATGCTTCAGACGAATTTGAGCACAAGTATTTCGAAAAATTTATTTTCTTCAAGGTTTTACTCCGTTTGAACCAGTTTTTTATTGAAAATCCCAAATTTGTTTTGACCACACTTTTTATAAACAAAATGAGAAGAAAATAGGTATATCAGAATTAATTAATTGATAATTAATTAATTACTGAGAAGAACCCAAAAATAAGTGATTAATAAAGTTTGTCAATAAATAATGAAAATTATATCGTTGTGTAGAGTTTGACTGTCTGACCCAACATTTAAACCAGATTTCAATTTGGAGAAAATTTGGACCAAAAAGTGTACCCTGACTGGGACCAAAATTAGTCCCAATCAGGGAACGGCGTGTAAATGTCGCAGAAGCTGATTTCTATTGTTTGAAGATCGGCTAATTGGAAACCTGAGTCAAAATTATGTGTCTTCTCCTTCCTCCTCTTGCTATATAAGGAACCTCCATCCTTCTCATTTCTTCACCATTTCCCTTCAAATTTGTTCTGAGAGTTAGCCTTGAGCGTGGAGAACGTAGTGGTGTTGTCAGTTTGGTGAGAGGTCGATGAAATTGGGACTTATTGTTGCCAGAAGGCCGTAGATATATTTAGTGACGAGATTGTTTGTATAGATCGTTTCTACATTCATAAATGGTCGGTTGGTTGAGTTTTGTGTTTGACATGCTTGAAGAACCAAGAATCATAAGCCTTGAAATTAAGGTTAAAACTATGAACTAATGATACCAAAATGATCTATGAACCTTGGAGAACATTTCTATATAATTTAATTAAAGTTTGGTGACCTAAAATGAAGTTGGAGAATAGTGGCCGAAGGTAGAAGACGATGAACAGTAACAAAATACTTCAGTGGATCGATCAAGGATGTTGGATCGATCACATGCAGTAAACACATAGCACGGTGGATCGATCCATTGTGTTGGATCGATACCTGGGATTGATCCTGTGGTTTGGATCGATCCTGGGTACTGGATCGATCACTTGAGCTGTCCTACCCAAATATTTTTCTGAAAGTGTTATTTTCGAGCCCTCAAATCCTATTTTTGATGCCAATCAATTATGATCAATATAAAGATGATTTATTAGAATAAAAATAACATTTTTAAATAAAATCTTATTTGATGCATGACAGCAAGCTAGGGTATTAACACTCGACGCTAGGTCATTATCTGTTATTGAATATTATGATGATTATAATTGATTGATATGATTCATGATTTAAAACTTGTTGAATATTCTGATTAAAATGATTATTGTGAATGATTGATTCATAAGTAAAAATGAATATATTGATGAATATGAAAACAATGTGTATTGTTAAGGTTATCTCGAAGAACTCTAAGATATACCCATTTGGAAATTGACGATGACTATTAAGGATATCTAGAGTTTCCATCATCTCCGATGGAGCCGAAATTTCACCATTTTTTGGCTTTGCGGTGTGATGGAATAAATCAAAATGGATCACTAAACTGTCTGCGCTTCTTTAATTAATGAAGTAACAGTTAGTCAAGCAATGCAACTTTTGACGTTGAGCCGGGGGTCTCTTTGGAAACAGCCTCTCTACTTCGAGTAGGGGTAAGGTCTGCGTACACACACCCTCCCCAGACCCTACTCTTGTGGGATTTAACTGGGTTGTTGTTGTTGTATTAAGGATATCTAGAAGAACTCTAAGATATACCTATGTGACCAATTCAGAAATTTGGGGTTAAAACGTACGTACGGGATCCAAACCAGATATCACCCGCCCGACCGTTCACTGTTCAATTGGTACATGATCCACAAGACTCATAGGGTGCTTCATCGATTCTTGTGTTCTGCCTTAAACTATTTAGAGTTTAAGAGCCCGGTTAGAAATATTGCCTTAGACTAGGAATAGTTTAAGAGCTTGACTTGGCATTAGATTAAGAATAATTTGAGAGCACAATTGAAATATTGAATAATGAATATCAGTAAAAAAAGATCCTGGTATGACAGGGAACAATGGGCCTACCTCGATCTTCGATATCTTTTCTAAAACACTTTTCACCCGAGCAAAGTCACGGTGAACCACCCTGCCGGGGGTAGAATCAAGGAAAACCAAAACTGCTCGCCCGGTCAAGATTTAGACCCGAGTGAGTGACTGAGTCACAATGGATTCGCTTAATTTGGCCCTGAGGACTTCTCCAAGAATACCTTCCCTGTTTCCATGGTCGACGTTGCCTCTGAAATGCCAATTTTGAAGAAGAGGCCAGGAAGGGGAGGAGTTACCTTACACACTCAAAGAACTAGAGCCCTTGTTCACTCGGGTGAAAGAAGCTATGACTTAGATGACCAACGTTTAAGTACCTTAGAACGTATTGGGTGAGATTTTCATAACCAGATAAATCTGTGATGATTCAAGAAGCAGCTTACCTTCAGATTTTACCCGACGGTGTAGAGGAAACCATACCAAGTTGGGTCCTGTGTGCCTTCCCGACGTAACAACAGCAGAGAGAGCACGATGACTAGGTTGCATGGTAACCTGGTCAGATTGTCTCGGAAACTACTCGGGTACAATGTACATGTCCAGGAAGAAAGCACAAGGTGGGCTGATAGGTCATTGGTAAGGCTTTCATAAACTCGACGCTCACCTCCGAAAGATCACCCATGTAACTTTGGGTTAAATTCCATCCAGGTGGATTCTAACCTTATACGATGATAGCGAGCCTAGTGGGATAATTCGATTGTGTTTACCTGGAATCTACCAGGGTGAGTACTGGGTAACCGGTCACATGACATAGCGATGCCAAAAGGGTCCTCGAATGATCGACGCGGTACTGAAATTTCGGGATGTTCCAAGTTCGAAAAATGGGCAAAATACCCAGATTAAAAAAATTACTTCCCACCCTTGATAGTTCCTACAAGGCCGAGAAGTGGAGGACTTATTGATGGATGTAATCCATCAAGGCCACGACCCAGGTCGGGCCCAGCCAAGACCACCCAGGCAAGGTCCAGGTACTATGCAGCAGGGTTATTTGAAGAGATTTGTACCCTACCCAAGAGGATTTCAGCCAAAAACATGGTTTGGCGTTAAGTCTTCCAACAGCGATGTTGGACTTTAGACATCGCTGTTGAGCCAAGGTTGGATTTCCAGAAACTTCTGGAACAGCGATGTAGGCTTCCCTACAGCGCTGTCCAACCTAAGCCAAAAACATAGTACATTGGCAGAAAGTTTTTGGACAGCGATGTTGACCCAGCAACAGCGCTGTCAGGCCTAAACTTCCATCTTCAAAGGCAGACCTAAACAGCGATGTTCTAGTATAGAACATCGATGTAGAGACCTGACCGTTGGAAGAAATTTAAGGCTAAAACTTTCCTTATTTGGAAGTCAACATCCAAAACAGCGATGTAGGGGTTTTGGACATCGCTGTTGGCATGACCGTTGCTTCCCATTTTTCAAACCGCAAGCCTAAAACAGCGATGTCCAGGCCTAGGACAGTGCTGTCTAGGTGAATTTCAACAGATCCAAATTTCATCAAATCCCACAAATTATGCCAATCACCCCTTAAATACTTTGGTCCGTTTTGGCCTATTTTTCTACTATAAAATGGGGTGTTTGGGTCTGTTTTACACATAACATATGAAGTGTTGAGGATGAGAAAGTAACGTTTAGTAAGAAGTATCGAAAACTCTCGGTAAAAACACTTCGAACACAACACAAGAACTCGCAAGAATCAAATGAGTATAGGTGAGAATTCCTCTCAGAACAAGAACTCACAGAATCACAACATATGTGCAATTCCCTTCGAAGTTTCCCTTGGTTGTACGAAGGAAAGGTATTTTCCTTCGGATTGAAGTCTTGGAGTGCGGTATCTCCGAGCAAGTGTTGTTGAGGCTCGTGGGACTCGAGTTCTCAGGTTGTAACGGTTTGTTAAGCACCCGTAAGCTTAACGGAAGTAGTGTAGCTCGAGAGAGTCTCTCGGGAGACTGGATTAGCCACACGTTGTGGTGAACCAGTATAAATCTTGGTGTGCTCCCTTTACGCTTTTTACGCTCTTTACGTTTCACGTTCTTAATTTTTTATTCCTGCGATTTCTACGATCAAACGCTATTCACCCCCCCTCTAGCGTTGGTCACTTATTCTAACAGTTTAGCCAAGACCACACAGAAAAGGTCTAAATACTATGGAGCAAGGTTGTTTGCGCGGATCTATACCCTTGCCGAGTGGGGACTACCCGGGTGACTTTTCGGCACCG